AAGTCTGAAGGAAGGGGCAGATTGTTTCGGTTGTGTACTTTCAAATTCTAGCGCACTCGAGCTGGTTTCTCCATTCTTATCTACCCTACCTTTAAGTAAATAAAACATTAAAATACGGCGCAGACTGAAAACTCATCTCTTTCGACTCCACTTCGAGCGATAGAATTACTAACAAAGAATGACTAACAAAGCACTTATATACTAACAAAGGACTGGCTTATCTAAAGCCACTTGAGTAGCACTTTAAATGTTTTGGCTCTATGAAACCTGATGTACTTATATGATTCTGTTTTCTTCAAGTTTGTATCTTCCTGGTCGAATGCACTTATTGTAAGTCGCTTTGGATAAAAGCCTCAGCTAAATGCAATGTAATGTAACAAATAACATCTTCATAATGTTCTCCATAAATCGAGGGAACAAGTGAAATATTGGGGCCAGCAGCATCACCAGAGACTGAGGAACACTCCACCCCCCAAAGCACTACTATTTAGTCATACTTATGGCTATTTTACTAATATATATTTAGACCGCAAGTGTAAATGGAGGCGTGTGGCGCAGTAGATAGTGCGTTGGTGTTGGGATCAGGGGAGCACAGGTTCAAACCCCACTGCAGTCAGCATGTCGTTCTGTCCCTGAGACACTTTTGGGCCGTCTCCACGGCAGCGTTAAAAAAATCTTGGAGGTGGGCGTATCTGAAGCTTGAGGATTTTTTGCGAGCAACCAATCACATGAATCTCCCGCCCGCGACATACGAAGCAAAAAAGCCCGAAGTAAACTGGATATAAACTCCCCAAAACAGGCGAAAACCTACCACTGTCTCTGCCACCTCCCTCCATGCCTGGCTCCTCCGGTTTATATCCCGGTAGGTCTGGTCATAAAGCACCGGGTGATTGATTCGCTACCGCTAATTTCTCCTCCATTTTTTGGAATATGAGGAAATGACCTGCGGTATTTCTCTCCCAGCATACACGCCGTTTGATTGGCTAGAGCTTGAACTGTCAGATTTGCGTACACGGGATTTGATTGGCTGACGCTTCCACCTCAGCCTCAAAAGTTGAACATTGTTCAACTTTGGATCTTGAAAATCCTGAGAATCTCCGCTCGCCTGCCCACAATGCATTTCGGCGAAAGCGAAAAAAAGTGACGTCACCCCATTCAAAGTGAATGGGCAGAAGCGTTTCAAGATTTTTTAACGCTGCCGTGGAGACGGCCCGTTCACCCCAAAGTGCTCCTGTGGGGATTGTCCACAGTATTGAGTATGTAATGCCGCGTTTCCACTACACAGCCTCGCTCGGCCCCGCTCGGCCTCCTTTGGCCGCGCCCGGCCTCGTTAGGACCAGCTCACTTTGTGGCGCGTTTCCATTACAGTTTAGGAACCGGGTCAGTATCTATAGTAACACAGTGTAGGCGGAGCGACGCTGCTTAAAACTGCCGTGACGTCATCTTCAATGCGACACAACAATGGAGATGTGAAAGCGATCGTTTGCTTGTTTTTTGCTGTGTGGTTTATTATCACAGAAATAGACAAGAGTTGTTTCGAAAGAGGCGACGTATAGCAAGACGAGGTATAGAAGAAGCTGACGCGAGAGTTCGGGCCAGTCCTCCTACGCCGCAGAGGACTACAGGACGACTCGAATCACTACTAACTACAATGCTACTTGGTAAGCTAACGTTTGCTAACTAGCAATGTGTTTAGGCTCACGCCTCCCTATACGACCAAAGTATTTCAAGTATTTAATTAATTGTAGCTACCACTTTTACGTATTAAAATATGTATGCTTTTGTTTGTGTATTTCAGAAGTTACCGACCGAGCTACCGAGTGGTGGAATGTTGATTGTTCCATCTTTCACACACTCAGTGGGTGGAGAACTTCAGGATGCCTGAGGAAAACCTACGTGTAATACCTAAATATTCATTGTATTGTATTGAACATAAATACATCTTTTCTTTTTCACATACATGTGTTTTGTCAAATTATTTAAACCAAAAAAATGTTATCAGAATTGACTATTTAGTAAATATTTGAATTTCAAAGCACCAGTACTGCCCCCATAATAATAATCTAATAAATTAAGCAAATATCAAAGCAAACTATAAACATAAATACAAAAGTGTAAAACACAACAGAACTATATTCATAAATGCAAGTGTAAAAAATTGTTAACATGGATGGATGCTAAAGTATCCACAGCATAAAATAATATGATTATGATTGGTTGTCTGAAAGACACAGCCTCAAGGTTCAAGGTTTTTTATTTTGTCATACGAACATAGCTAGTTGTAGTTATGACAATGAACATCTTAGGTCACAGGCTCCTCCAACAGTGCAACACAATAACCCAGATCAAGAGAAATATAGTGCAAGTAAATATTAAGCGCTGTGCACCGCTCTCTTTGTATAGGTGTTTTCTTTTGTTCTCTTCTCTTTGAAATATATAAGCAATGTGTTTGAGTCTAGCACAACGAGGGTATTACAATTGAGTAATTTTTCTACAGTATTTATCATGTATTCTTAATACCATTACAAATATGTAATGTTATGTTTTAGAGGAGGACCTCAAGCTAGCAAACTCAATTTCAAACAGTATGCAGAGTTGTCCTGCCTAAAGAGTTAAAATGTATTATTTAACCAAGTATTTATTCTCTTATTTGCTTTAATTGCAACAGATGATAAAGGTTTCACTGTGATAAGTATTCTCTTAAATCCATAAACCCCTGTACAGTGCTTTGTGGACGATGGTGTTTATGATATTTCTGACTGCAGAGGGACGCCTAGATGATGCCATCTTTCTGTGCGATCGCTGGTGGGTGCAATTATTTATCAACAAGCAATAAGATAGACATGGCATTGATTCTGCTGGGCCAGTTGCCGTTCCTGCAGGGCCAGATCCTCTCCTCCTCGGTTTGTGCTGTTGATGGCAGAGGACGTTGTTCGGAACTGTTCCTCCTCGCTAGTCCCAATGTAATCATCTAGAACAGAAACATGACTTGTAAATTCCACAAACTACTGCAGCACAATACTATAAATAGCAACAACAACTATAGAAAGACAACTGAACGTAAACAATGGCGATATATGGTGTTAGCAAACAATAGCTCTCGCTAATGCTATCTGCCTAGCTAGCCTTCGGGGCTCCATCGGGGTTGTCGAACATAAATGTAAGGATAAAATAGACTTATTTGTTAGAAGTGAGCTTTAAAACAGATAGGGACACAAAGCAGGGACACAAAGCTTTCAAGCAAATAACAGCGTTAGCAAAAACGTACCATGCAGACTCCAGTAACGCCGTTGGAGAGTCCAGTGTCTGTGTAGAGACCTCCTGAAAGACTTTGATATTGCGAGTTGTCCCGTCGAGCACCCGCTGGACCTTATCATCTGCAATATAATGGACGTCGTCACTTCCTCGACCGACCATGGTGTGCTTTTCTTTGCCATTGTTGTAGCTCCTCTGTTAACAAAAATGCTGTTTGTAAAAATGGATTATCTCGCAGCGCAGATTGTGACGATTCTCTCCGACCAATCAGCAGCCGAGAGCGTTGACGTCACAAACACAGCCCGGTTGTCTCTGGCCCTGGCCCCACGATTTTATGAGGCCAGAAAAACTGAGAATTAGGACCAGCCGGCCGGTACTAGGCCAAGTGGAAACGCAACCACAAACGGGCCGCTGACGTCACAGCCCTCTTAAACCGGGCTGCGCGCTGTAGTGGAAACGCGCCATAAGTCGCTTTGGATAAAAGCGTCTAACAAGTGACATGTAATGTAATGTAAAGTCATGTGATGTGATGAAATGTAAATATGCACATTGACATTGAATTTGCAGGAAGAGTTGCCAAAGACATTTCGTTGTACTTTGTATGATGACAATAAAGATATATTCGATTCTCTTCTATAAATGTTTCTTAATATCAGAATTTAAAAAAAGGAAATAAAGGACAAATGAATCGTTTCAAAATGATGCCGAAGTAACAACATACTGATACCGGTTAGTAAAAACCCATGAATTACACAAGACCTTTGTGTATTTTTTGGTATTATTTGTTAGTACTTCGAAAGGCCCATGAACTTACTGACCAGCACTTTGAATGTGTGCTAAATTAAAATATTGAACTGCAGTTGAAGCCGCTGCAGCGACGCTGATCCACCTCCTGTTTCCTGTCTGTGGTCACACCAAAGATGGGGGGAAGTGTTTGCAAAGTCACTTCCTGTCAGAGGGCGGGACACACGCAAGAGGAGGAAGCCATTTGGATTTAGGTTTCTCAGCGGCGTCTTAGTGCTTGGTTTTGAGGAAGTGAAACTGTGAGAGGACGGCCGGCAGCTTTTTATTTTCTGAGTTTCAGAGACGTTTGGAGAGAGATGAGAGAAGCTTCAGATGTTTTCGTCCTGAAGCTGAGGTTTCACTTCAGATTCAAGATGAGCGGAGTGCCGAGTCGAGCCGAGGTGACGGGGTGGAGCCCTCAGCAGCTGGCCGAGTACCTGACCCGGGTGAGTCCCTGAACGCACCGTCTGTGTCTATAACGCCTGTATTTAAGACCTCAAACGTGTCCTCTGTCTCTCTGACATCTTAACATGAGACCTCAAAACACACCGTCTCTGACAACTTAACATGAGACCTCAAAACGCACCGTCTGTGTCTATAACGCCTGTATTTAAGACCTCAAACGTGTCCTCTGTCTCTCTGACATCTTAACATGAGACCTTGAACACACCGTCTCTATGTCTAACATCTCTAACTATAATGTCTGTATCTCTAACGCCTGTATTTAAGACCTCAAAACTACCCTCTCAGACTTCTCATTTAAGATCTCGAACACACCGTCTCTGACAACTTAACATGAGACCTCGAACACACCGTCTCTGACAACTTAAAGGGGACCTATCATGCAAATGCACTTTTTGTACGTCTTTTATACATGAATATGTGTCCCCGGTGTTCCAGGGAACTCACCAAGTGTCAGAAAACACAACCCTCTCTATTTTTCCTCCATACCCAAATCTCTAAAAAAGGGGCTGCAACGGATCTGATAAAAACTGATCCAGATTTGAACACTGTTCTGACGTCAGGACGGTGGCGCTACGGCTATTGGGTCAACTCCACCAATCAGGAGGAGACAGCCACGGCCATTGCCGTTCGAAAGCGCTGGAGACGCTGTAGTACATATGCCAGGCCTGTAGGTGGTGCTGTTCTCACAGAATCTGCCCTTGCAAAAACAGAGCTAAAAAAGTGCAAATTGAGCGAAATGAGGCATGGCTAAAATGCATGATCTGTTTGGTATTTTGAAAAAAAAAAAGTATAAATATGCCTTATATAGGTATGGTCCTACACTATATTATTCAAATATAGCATGATAGGTCCACTTTAACATGAGACCTCAAACTACCGTCTCTGACTTCTTATTTAAGAACTTGAACGTATCTCTAACGTCTATATTTAAGACCTCAAACATGTCCTCTGACTTCTTTCTTTCTGCACGTCCAGTTTCTCAAAGCTCCTTAATTTCCTCCATTTTTTCCTGTCGATTCTCTGGACCAATCAAAAGCCTGCAGTGTTTTAACTCCGCCTTCTACTCTAAACTGGATCCTTGGCTCGGATTGTGCTTAAAAAGTACCAGGAACTCTCCAGGACTTTTCCAAATGGAAACCAAAGGAGAGCTAGCTGAGTCAAACAGACGTCACCGTTCAGCGGAAACACAAGCGCAGGATTTGGTTTCCCAACAAAGAAACTCATCTGTTTCTTTCCCAAAGTCTTCAGGAAGAAGGATCCGAACACAGAAGTTATTTAACGGTTTGATCAAAATGGAAAACCGACTTCATTCGGAAGTCTTCATTTGGTTAAAACAGAACAGAAGCAAACACTCGATGAAACCTTTATATCGTCTGATCTACAGACGTCTGATGGGTCCCGTGACGTCACGTGACCTACCAGGAGAAGTGTGATTTAAATCGTCTCCAAAACACAACGTTTCCGTCCTCGACCCGCGAGACAGAAGTCCGACAAGTTTCATACAAATCTGTCCAGAATTTGTTGCTGACAATTTGAGAAACCGAGCCACGAGGAGACGGAGATCAGCGATGTAGAAGAGAGACGGTCGTCGGCATAAAGCTGATGTTTGAAATGGGTTTTATTCACGAAGACGTCTTGATAACGTCTCGTTTAGATGGAGTAACGGATCACTTTAAATACAGCTCTGTGTATGTTTGGATACGTGTCCAAAGTCCTTTTCAGAAATGTGGGAATCACCAGGAGTACCATCAGGTGATTCGGACCGGACAACACAAACCAACACGAACTAACCGAACACGTGAAATGTAATACACGTATTTATATTTCCACACGTTTCAATGTGCTGTTTGTAATTGCAGATGAGTCTGAGCGGCCTGTGGATAAAGTGGTGTTGAAGAACTCCATCAGCGGCTCCAGATTTGTGGTGAGTTTACATTCAAAGACATCCAGTGAAAGTAAAAAGGGTGAAGAGTTTAAAATGTCAACACACTGTCTCTCTGTTCGGAAGAATCTGAGCGAGAGCGATCTGCAGAAGTTCCCCAACTCTACGCTCCGTAAGTACAAACCAAATCCACTTCTACATCAACATGTGTCCCCTCTTCTTCATGTCTCTTCTACATCAACATGTGTCCCCTCTTCTTCATGTCTCTTCTACATCAACATGTGTCCCCTCTTCTTCATGTCTCTTCTACATCAACATGTGTCCCCTCTTCTTCATGGTCTCTTCTACATCAACATGTGTCCCCTCTTCTTCATGTCTCTTCTACATCAACATGTGTCCCCTCTTCTTCATGTATCTTCTTCATCAACATGTGTCCCCTCTTCTTCATGTCTCTTCTACATCAACATGTGTCCCCTCTTCTTCATGTCTCTTCTACATCAACATGTGTCCCCTCTTCCTCATGTCTCTTCTACATCAACATGTGTCCCCTCTTCTTCATGTCTCTTCTACATCAACATGTGTCCACTCTTTCTATGTCTCTTCTACATCAACATGTGTCCCCTCTCTTCTTCATGTCTCTTCTTCATCAACATGTGTCCCCTCTTCTTCATGTCTCTTCTACATCAACATGTGTCCCCTCTTCTTCATGTCTCTTCTACATCAACATGGGTCCCCTCTTCTTCATGTCTCTTCTTCATCAAACATGTGTCCCTCTTCTTCATGTCTCTTCTACATCAACATGTGTCCCCTCTTCTTCATGTCTCTTCTACATCAACATGTGTCCCCTCTTCTTCATGTCTCTTCTACATCAACATGTGTCCCCTCTTCTCATGTCTCTTCTTCATCAACATGTGTCCCCTCTGTGGAAAGAGACTCTGAAAGTTTCAGGAACAAAGATTCTCTCTCTTTTTGATCCATTTTTATAAAAACCTGTCTGAAAATGAGCTGATCAGATTTTGGCCACTTGATGTCATAACGATGTTTTGGCTTGAGTAACCATTAGCCAATCAGCAACCAAGGTACCACCTCTCAGCAGGCACAAAAAATGGGGGGTAAAAGTTCCCCGAGATTAAGTTCTCTTTTTGGGTGTGAACACGACATAAGGGGTACGAAAGGAAACTAAACGCGAAAAGTACGGTTGAAAAGTACTCCGGTGTGAACGCGGCTATTGAGTTCTTTGTAACCAAATCTCTCTCAGAGGGGCGTGGGGAGGGGCTCCTTATTTTCAATCTAAAGTAACAGACAGAGAATCAGCACTTTGGAAACAGGGCTGAAACAGAGGGGATTATGGGTAATGCCTGCAATGATCTGTTTGGTGTTTCAGCCAATCAGAGACAGGCTCTGGATATATCTGAGACCTGTGATATATTGATGAGAAACAGGATCTTGCCCATTTCAAACCAACGCAGTTCCCGTTCTAGAGCTCTTCTGGTTCGGAACCGGTTCTTCTTTTTCTGCTCCCGCTCTGTTCACCACCACTCAGAGCCGGGATGGTGTCATGACGTCACCGTTTACATCGCTGATTTGCTCCCCAACGGCGCTCACTACAACAACGGGGGACTGCGTCGGGTCGATGATCGTGTTGCTTTTAATCATACGAAGCCAGATTAAATTAAATAACGACTTCTCCAACCTTATACTTTTCTCCAGAGTGCCGTGGTTCATTGTTTATTAATGTGTTTCAGCGGCATTTACCGACCGCTGCAGTGCTGCTCTTCCACGGGAGTTTATTCTCCCGTTAGCTCCGGGTTAGCTCACACGGCTCTAAAGTATTCACTGTCTGACTGTCACACAAGCAGCTGATACATATCCCCAGTTTCCCCTTAAGTGAATGTGTGTCAGTCTGAATTGACGCTGTTTGGCATCACAACGCTGTTATGAAAGTTTCTCTGGTATAACATGGGTGATGTTAGCATAGCAACCGAAGCTAAACTGACTACTTGCTAAGCCGTTTTCTACAGGCACATTTTACCGGCGTATTTTTCATTATGATTCTACTTGTGATAGTCGGACATGACAACCTGTGCAGCCCATGTATTGATTCCATCCGATAGCTGCTATAATAACAAACAAAACGTCTGCCTGCTCTCCACAATGATCAATAACAGCGAACGGATGGTCAAAGTAAGGTACAAATAAACAGAATCACACAAAGCCTGGTTAGTGTTGCCTGACTTTATAAAGTGTGTTTTTTATAAGTGTGTGGTTGCCTTCTAGTCACTTTGCTCAGCGCTACTGCTTGTTACAACTTGTATTTGCCGTACTCGCCTTAAACTGTTAGCTCAGGTTAAACTCGCCCCCCTCCGACGTAAGCGTGACGTATGCGGTTCTTGCTTCTTGACCGACAATCTTTTGGTGCTCGAAACGAACCGGATTCCGGAGCTTAGAGGCGGCTCCGCTGCGGCGTGAACAGGACAAACCGGTGCTTTTCAGGCTCCTGCTCCGAACCGGCCCTGGAAGCGCGTTGGTGTGAAAGGGGCATCATGCGGGACCTTTAAGAGAAAACCTCCAGGAGAAGCGCTTCGTGTTTTTATCTCCTTCTTCTGTCTCTGATACGACGGCGATGTGGAAGTGCTGATTGAATTTGAAGAACCTTTATTTAAACCCTGTGTGTCCTCAGGATGATCACTAAGATCAGCTCTCAGATCAGCAAGAAGGAGGAGAAGAGGAGCCTGTTTGGGATAAAGTGAGGCTTTTATATATATTTTTAATATAAAACTACAACATTAACACAAATGAAAAATTATAATACATTTAAATTGTAAATAATAAAACAATAACAAATAAAGCACCTTTAAATATCTGTTATATTGTTTATTGATATTTATAATTACTGTTTTTATTTCCATTGCAGACCGACCAGATATCACGAACCAGGTTTGACTTTAACTTCATCATTAACCTTCTCGTGTTTGGTTTGAAATGTATTTTATATAAATATATTTATACTTATTGCCTTTTCTCCCAGAAGCAGCGGCAGAGGTTCAGGGTTGGGCTGAGGACGAGTTTGTACGTCTTATTTTTTATTTTTCTCTCTTTTGATGGAAATTCAACCAGAAAAATATTATTTATTTTTAAGGGTTTTTTGTGACCAGCGTGTTTTTGTAAAATATATATCTATATACTTCCAGTCGGAGGAAGATGACTACGAGGACCCGGACAGCGGGGGGGACGCGGGGGGCAGCGACTACGAGTCCCCGATGGACGACGATAACAACGACTACGAGCCCCCCCCCTCCGAGCCCCCGGAGGACATGGCGCTCAAACTGGGGCCCCCCCGCCCGCTGGGGGACGGGGAATACATCGGTAAGACCTTTAATAACACCTTTAATACAGGGTTTAACACATAATGCATCGGTAACACCTGGACCCCCCCTTTAGGAATATAAAATGATGTATCTGACGTTTATTTCACAGAAAACGTAACCCGTCTACGGGCTATGTTTTTCTTTATGTAAAAATATATATTTCTAATGTGTTTCCCTTTGTGGCCAGCAGGGGGGGCTTCAACCAATAGACCTGCTTTAAGTATAACATGAGCTAAATATGTGTGTGTGTGTGTGTGTGTGTGTGTGTGTGTGTGTGTGTGTGTGTGTGTGTGTGTGTGTGTGTGTGTGTGTGTGTGTGTGTGTGTGTGTGTGTGTGTGTGTGTGTGTGTGGTGTAGACAGCCGTGTGCCCTCCAGAGGCCACCCCCCTGCTGTGTGTCCCCGCCCCCCGCCCCCAGCCTCTCCGTACCGGTGAGTCTAAATTTAAAGAATAATTTAAAACATTTTAAATTCTTCAGATATACTTTTATGTAAAGGTTTGTGTGTGTGTGTGTGTGTGTGTGTGTGTGTGTGTGTGTGTGTGTGTGTGTGTGTGTGTGTGTGTGTGTGTGTGTGTGTGTGTGTGTGCAGACAGGTGAGCAGTCCTCCAGAAGAGACCCCTCCCCTCGCGGCGGGGGGGAGAAAATGTGAGTTTATATTTTTAATACATTTCTCTACTCAGCTTTTCTTCATTAGTATCAAGTGAAACAGTGACATCGTGTTTTTGTGATTATTTAGCATTTATTTTGTAAACGAATGCGTCTTTTTTTGCTGATTTTAGGCCACATAGGAGTGTGTGTTAATCGGTTATTCGTCATTTTGTTCCGTGTAATAGTTTTGCGTGTCTTCAGTTTTAATTCATTAGGCGCTTTCACACCGCAGTACTTTTCCCACAATATTTCATCAGAACTCTTTAGTTCTCATGAACTAAGTACAGATCGCGTTCTCACCGGAATAAGTTCCCTGAGGGAAGATTACACAAATGAGCCGCTGACGTCACTTCTTCTCTTCTGCTTTGGGTTTACTGGCAGGCCGCAAACAACTTCACGGGCGTATACTGCCACCCGAAGTCCCCGGCCGGAAGTCCCCGGAGTTGGGGAAGGCTTCAGTAGAAGCTGCTGGGACTCCCAGCAGCTTCTACTGAAGCCTTCCGAGTAAATCGCCAGAACGCCGGCACCTCCTCCACTCCACCGCTCCCATGTTTTCTTTTGTGTTGCCATAAGTTAGTCTCTCTCCGTTTGTGCGCTGGGCTAATGCTAATGCTAATAATGCTAATGCGAGGATAATAAAATGGCGGCTTCACAAAACTTTTGGGAGTTTTACGGGGCGTGGTTTGCAATCCGCCCAGCCAATCAGACATAGGAACCTTTTTCTCCCACGAAAGTACCTACTCTCTAGCAGGGACGGAAAAGGGGGTAAAAAGGTTCATGAACTAATTTTAGTTCCGGCTAACATTCCGCGACATTTCAGAACTATATCGGAACTAAAGTGGGAAAATTACTGCGGTGTGAACGCGACTTATTGTGCATCTATTCTAAGACTTTTAACAGCTGCCTCTTTGCTCTTCCTACATCTATCTGTAGTTGTTTTGCGCCCCCTGGTGGGCACTTTGTGATGGTTTTGTTTCTATTTCTTAAAGGTCCCATGTCACGGCCATCTCTACTGATCATAATTCCATTGTTGAGGTCTACTAGAATAGATTGAAACTCACATTGGTTTCTCATACAGCATCTCTGTATAGTATGTGAATTCACTCTCTGTCCTACACGCCTTGTTGGAGCTCCTGCCCCCCCCCCCCCCTCCCTGTGAGCCCACTGTGCTCTGATTGGTCAGCTCGCCCACTCTGTTCTGATGAGTCCACCACCGTTACAGCGGAACATCAGTGATTATGTTTTACAATGGCGTTTGTTAGCAACCAGAAAAGGACACCAGTAAAGACAAACAGATGAGAATGCTGCGTGGGGGTCTGGGTGCCCGTGTTGGAGGGACGTTGCCGCAGCTCGCTGCTGTGAGGAGCGGACAGTGTGAGCTGGGTTAATTTCCTACTAGCTGCGTGGGGTCTGCGAGACATCGCGAATGGACACGGGAAGGGGGGGTGCTGAGGGGGCTTCAGCACCCCCATCTGCAAGGCTCCACTAGCACCCGCACCCCCAAACGCGGCACACCTACAGTGTAAGCACGCCCCATTTGGACCAATGGGTCCATTTGGGTATGGGCACGTCACTGTACCCAGGAAGAAAAAGAGAAATGTCCAACGAGGCGTTCTGGGGCAAACAGGTATTTTCTGTGTTAGAGTTTTACTCGCTACAGGGTGTACTTTGAGGGTTTGTGATTCTGCAGACCGTTTACATGCAGAAAAACCTTCATAACACACAAGGGGACGGGTAATAACCAGAAAAGCATGACATGGGCCCTTTAACACTTGATCATTTTGTGCCTTTTTGTTCGGGTGGTTTTGTGTGGCATGGCGTAACTCTGCAGGAAACACTGCAAACAGGAGCTGTTAAATATTGTTCAGAATAACTTTTAATGGATTATTTTCCCTCCTGTTGTGTTCAGTTCCTCCGGGGCCCCCGCCGATTCTTCGTGTGAACAAACCGGGTCGACCGAACCAGTCCCCCGTCAGAGGTAAAGCTTCAAAGTGCTTCTGTTTTTAAATTTACTTACTTTGGTTTCAAAGGACAACATAAGTATTGCATTCAATTAAATTAAGGGGTCGGTTGGAGAGTAGTCGTTACAGCGCTGTGATTGGACAGCTGCTCTGGAGGTGGGCGGGACATCACACAGCGAGAGCCAATCAGGGATACTTGATTGTTTTTAAACACAGAAATGTACCATTCTGATTGGTTGAGAGTTTTAAATCAATAAATCATTATAAAAACAATAGTTTGTATTCCAGGACATCACTGAAACACTATCTTTGGGTTCAAGAAAAGCGCTATAGAAATATAATTTATTATTATTATTATTATCTGACATTACAGTGATCTTAAATATAAAAATATTACTCACTGTAAGGTTATATTGCTTTTTAGTAAGTAGTTATTTTGGTGTCGAATTTCTTTTTGGGAAATTAAATTCATCTAAAAAGAGCATCAATTTACTAGATTGTTGATTCAATCATGTCGTTTACATTTGTTTTTCTCGTCTCCACAGGACCTCATCGCAACACAGTGGAAAAGGTGATGTTTTCTTTATAAATAAGCTTTATTTAGAGCGGCCATATCGTGCTCATTTTCAGTCTATCACGTGCAATGTGTTGGAGCACTCGCCAATAGGAGAGCGAGTGTTCCCTGGTGATGTCACTAAGTTTTGGGAGTAAACAAAGGAGTTCTCCACATACTTTATATTTAGTATTTCTTTATTCTAATTGTGCTTCTTTGCTTCCTACAGCCGGGCGCTAACTCTTGGAGGTAAGTAGATGTTCTCTCCATTATATCCTACAGGAGTAAGTAATGGGGCCCCACAGGGCTCTGTGTGCGGTCCTCTTATATAGATCAACTGTTCTGGGGACTAGTGGAAGCGCTGTTTTATAACGATGTTACGCAGATTACATTGTTTTTAATGTATTCAAACCCTCTTTATTATATCAAATATATTTTGAGAACGAAAGTCTTGTTTATAGAATTTTTCAAACGAAGGGAAATAAAAGTAATAATAGACTTAAAATATCAATTTTTATGAAGATGACTCTGTCTTGTATGCGTTTAAATGCTCTTCAACTGTATTTGATCAAACAGCCTCAGCAGTGCATCATCGAGTGCTCGAACACAGAGGAGGGAATGAGTGTGTTATTGTTCAAAGTGGAGGAATGTTATCTTTAATCTTCTCTGTTCAGGCCTCAGCCGGACGATCCTCCGGCCTGGAACAAACCTCCAGCTCTCCCCCCGACCCCGACCCCGACCCCGACCTCCGTCAGCCGGAGCGACTCCTCCGCCAGACCGGCTGCCACCAGGTCAACATCAGATATTAAAGCTTTCAGACATATCCACCAGAGAGGAATGCGTCCTGAACCCTGACATGAGTCAGCATTATGAGTCCTAACATGTCATGAGTCAGCATTATGAGTCCTAAACCCTGACATGAGTCAGCATTATGAGTCCTAAACCCTGACTCAGCATTATGAGTCCTGAACCCTGACTCAGCATTATGAGTCCTGAACCCTGACTCAGCATTATGAGTCCTGAACCCTGACTCAGCATTATGAGTCCTGAACCCTGACTCAGCATTATGAGTCCTAAACCCTGATTCAGCATTATGAGTCCTGAACCCTGACTCAGCATTATGAGTCCTGAACCCTGTCATGAGTCAGCATTATGAGTCCTGAACCCTGTCCTGACTCAGCATTATGAGTCCTGAACCCTGACTCAGCATTATGAGTCCTGAACCCTGACTCAGCATTATGAGTCCTGAACCCTGTCATGAGTCAGCATGTCCTCACTTCCTGTCCCCTGGTCTCTCTTCAATGGTTTCTGAGTGTTTTTGTTGTTAGTCTGAAATCAGGTCTTTGGTTAACACAAGCTTTTTTTGGTGGTTCGACAGGTTTGAGGCGAGGAGAGAGGTAAGTCTCAGTTTGAAACTTTTATTTTGAAGGTTAGTTTGTCCTGAGTGACATTTGAACTTCTTCTTCTCTTCTCTTCTATCAGCAAACACACAATGAAGGTGAGATTTGTATTCATCATAAACATCATAAACAAAAGCATATCCCGACCTATGGGAGTAATTCTTAAAACCCTTCTGTCTTCTAGCTCCTAAACACAACACCTTTCCCCTTCAAAATAAGAGTCAGACCCCCCGCCCCGGACGCCCCTCTCGCCAAGGAGACAGGTGAGACGACTTTAAGTAATGTACTTCCTGTCAGTACCCAGAGTGACTGTATCCTCACAGGAAGCTCAGGGAGAGGCTTGTTTTTCAAAATAAAAGCCCCATAATGTGATTGTATAACTTGAAACCACGTCCAATGAAATGTGATGTTTTTAAACTTCTATTTCTAAATGCCAGATTTAGTCTTCTTCTTCTTCTCTTTGTTTGAGTTGATTAAATAAATACAAAATAATTACTCTACTACACAATCAATATTTTTATTTCTCAATGATATCTTTGGATCATTTTTGTAACTGAAGATAACAATGACAACAGAAACAAAAACATAATCTGAGGGTTTAAACAGTTTTTATTAACTTATTATTAAATTAAAATTAAAAGTCACCTATCATGCTATGTGTGATAGCCTAGCATAGGTCTCAGATATATACAAATATATAAAAAACATGTCTATGAAGTGTTTTGCTCCAAATACCAAACAGATCACCCATTCTAGCCATGCCTCATATCCCTCTATTTCACTTCCTGTTTCTAAAGTGCTGATTTGGGGAATAAAGCTTTAAATAAATAAAAAATTGATAAAATAAAAAAGGAGGGGTCTGAGCTCATGCGGGACCCGGCAGCTACTGTCTAAACTAAATGCTGCCGTGATGAAACGCCATATCATGGATTATCAAGGATTGTTTCTGAAACAGTATGGAGCTCAAAGGCTTTCTCTCTTGCCGGTTATACCACAAGGTGAGTTCCTTTTTATTTCCTGCTTCTTCACACACATGCTCTCCAGTACAGGTTAGCTCTGAGTGTTAGCGATGCTAATATAAACACCGACCATATTACGTCCAAAACAGTCAGGCATTGTTTCTGATAGCAACGTTTCTGATAGGGCCGTGGGTCCACATTTCAGATATTACGTCATATCGGACGCAAATCTGGATCAGCTCCGTTGTTCCCCCGTTTTTAGAGATTTGGGTACGGAGGAAAATAGAGAGGGTTTTATTTTCTGACGCTGCGTGAGTTCCCTGACACACCGGGGACACATAGTGATGTAGAGAAGACATCAAAAAGTGCATTTTGCTTGATAGGAGACCTTTAAGTTATTAGCGTCCTGGGGTTTCTTGAAAGGCGCCATATAAATCCAAGTTACTACTATTTATTATTATTATTAGACATCAAGTCAACAAAAATGTATTAATATAATAAAAACTAAGAAGGGCATTTGACGCAGGACTAAGACTAAATCACAATAATGCTTTCAAAATCAAAACTATTGCAAACAGAATCTCATGAAACACAATAACAAAACCTGCAAAAAGGTGAATTTAATTACAACATTTCTATCCATTCCTATTTATGAAGACATAATAATGTGTGTATTGTGTTTCCTCCCAGCCTTCCTCCCAGCCTTCCTCCCAGCGTCCCCTCTGCCGGCTCTCTGCCCCACAAACTGCAACCTGGTGAGGAAACAACACATTTTATTAATAAACATTTACATCTTATTTTTATTCTGTCAATTGTTTAACAATGTGTTATTTCCCCACAACCCCCTCCTCTTTATATTTTAATGGTGTTTTCTTTTAATTATGCAATCTTAATTTAAATGCTTGTTTTAGTTTCATCATTTAAGTAATTATATTTATACCCAGTTATATTAATTATACTAAAGTTATTCACCTCTATTTTTGCGTCTTATTTGTTTTATTTATGTGGATTTATCATTTATATTACATTTATTTTTGTTATTCACATCCTCCTTAATCCAGCTTGTTCCCTTACGCAACTTAATGCACAATCATCAGTATATAATTAACCTGTACGTAACTTTAAATAACGATTTGATATTGTAATTATGAATAAATACTGTGCTGACCCAGTGTGAACACTAGAGGGCGACCTTTCTCCTCGAACAGCAGAAACATCACAAAACTGACCAACTGTGTGTGCGTGCGTGTGTGCGTGCGTGTGTGTTTGTGTGTGAAGGCTTCGGAGGATCTGACAGACAATCGTTTCGTCCTACGCCACCTACAGCAGCACCTGTACAGGTAATAAAAAACACACACACACTTTTCTTAAATGACCCATACAGTGAGACTTGTAATGCAATATAAAACGCTTGGTCCTCACGAAGGTAGCAACACAAGAAGTTTCTTTCCCACATCTAAACTAAGTTAACCTAAGAAGACATTTTTTAAACGGCAAGAAACATTTACATATAACTACTTTTACAGTCTTTTATTTGTGTCGTACTTATACTGTACTACAGGGGGAGCTGTTGTATCGGTTGTTTAACCACATTAAAATTATAATGTTTATATATATAGAGAGATATTGATGTATATATGATATGATGTGCTCTGTGTGCAGGACCTGGACCCCAGCTGGTACGTGGGGAGAGTGACCCGAGGTCAGGCGGAGGAGAGTCTGCAACAAGTCAACAAGGTAAACAACAACAACAATATCAGAGTCATTTAAAGTTTAATAGGTTCTCTATTTCCATAATCATAATCGTGTGTCTGTGTGTGTGTGTGTGTGTGTGTGTGTGTGTGTGTGTGTGTGTGTGTGTGTGTGTGTGTGTGTGTGTGTGTGTGTGTGTGTGTGTGTGTGTGTGTGTGTGTGTGTGTGTGTGTGTGTGTGTGTGTGTGTGTGTGTGCGTGTGTGTGTGTGTGTGTAGGACGGAGCCTTCCTGGTCAGAGACAGCACTCGGCAGTTGGCTCAGCAGCCGTTCACTCTGATGGTTTTGTTCCAGCAGAAAGTTTTCAACATTCAGATCAGAGAGCAGGCGGGGAACTTCCTGCTGGGAACAGGGCTCAAAGTCAAAGAGGTAAACAAGAGCTGGGGGGTAAACAAGAGGGGGGGCAGGGTAGACAAGATGGGGGCAGGTACACAAGATGGGGGCAGGTAAACAAACCATCATAGATTGACTGTATA